AATAAAAATATAAATAAATAAGTTAGAAGACAAACTCTTTTAGCTGCGAGAGTAATTGCTGCATAAATAAAAATAAATAAATAAATAAATAAGAAGGAGACAAACAATAAATAAAAATAAATAAACAAATAAAAATATAAATAAATAAGTTAGAAGACAAACTCTTTTAGCTGCGAGAGTAATTGCTGCATGAGGGTTTTTAATCTTCTGCCCTTCGTCTAACACCAGCAGTTTCCAAGTGAAGTGCAGCAGCAAACTCTGATGCAGACACACACAAACAACACTGCTGCTGCTGCTGTTGCTGCTGCTGCTGCTGCTGGTGCTGGTGTTGCTGCTGGTGCTGCTGGTGGTGCTGGAGCAGCAGCAGCAGCGGAAACAGCGCAGCAGCAGGAAGAGCAGCAGCAAACGAGATAGTGGTAACAGCAGCAGCAGCAGCAGCAGCAATAGAAGCAACAGCAGCAGCGGCAACAGCAGCAGCAGCAACAGCAACCGCAGCAGCGGCAATAGCAGCAGCAGCAACAGCAACCGCAGCAGCAGCAACAGCAGCAGCAGGAACAGCAACAGCAACCGCAGCAGCAACAACAGCAGCAGCAGCAGCAGCAGATTTACGATGTGTCTCCTGAGGGTTTCATAGGTTGTGAGCAGAACACCATTCGATTTGCTTGCCGCAACTGCAGCAGCCCTCAGCCCCTTCAAGCTCTGAGCAAACCCCAAACCCTAAACCCTAAACCCTAAACCCTAAATCCTAAATCCTAAATCCTAAATCCTAAACCCTGAACCAGCGCTTTAAGGATTAAGCCAGCCGAATGCTTTGAAAGGGCAAGATATTGCGCAACCTAGGGTTTAGGGTCTAGGGACAGAGGTTGAGGGTTTAGGGTTTAGGGTTTAGGGTTTAGGGTTTAGGGTTTACTTTATCATGAAAGATGCAAACCCTCACGAGGGGTGCCCAGAAGTGAAGTTCTTTCAGCCAATGCCCCAACACCGTAGCGGGGCAAACCACCAGCACTCCTCCCTCGCTGCTGCTGCTGCTGCTGCTGCTGCTGCTGCTGCTGCTGCTGCTGAGCAGCTGCTGGTGGCGTTCTTGGAAGGGCCAGACTGTCTGCAGCAGCAGCAGCAGCAGCAGCAGAACAGCGAGGAAATGCGCCACGACGGATCAGGGTTTAGGGTTTAGGGTTTAGGGTTTTATTGGGGTGTACGTACAGCTAGGGTTTTAGAGTAATGCAGCACAGCAACAAAAGCTGAAACTTGCACTGTCTTTCCTAGACCCATCTCGTCGCCTAGGAGCCCCCCGGTTTGCTGCTGCATCTGCTGCAGCAGCCACAGCAGCCCCTGCTGCTGGTGAGGCAGTAGCTGTCTGTACACCTCAGCAGGACAAGCGAAGCCCCCAATCAGAGGCACCGCAGGCTCCTGCTGCTGCTGTTGCTGCTCCTGCTGCTGCTGGTGCTGCTGCAGGCGGCGGGAGAATTGCTGCGCAGCAGTGTCGTCTAACTCCATGTAGCAGCCCTGCTGCTGCTGCTGCTGCTGCTGCTGCTGGGTCTCTGCAGCAGCAGAATCACTTTCTGATTCGTTGCTGTCTCCGTCTTCTGTTCCCGTCTCCTCATTTGTCGCTGTTGCTGCTGCTGTTGCTGCTGCTGCTGCTGTTGCTGCTGCTGCTGCTGCTGCTGCTCTCTGCCTTCCTTCCTTTGGAGACTCCCATGAGCTGTCGCTTGTCTCTTCTTCTGAATCTGTCAGATCGAGGGCACTCCCTGCTGCTGCTGTTGCTGCTGCTGCTGCTGCTGCTGTTGTTGTTGTTGGTGGTGCTGCTGCTGCCGTTGCGGTTGGTGCGGCTGCTGCTGCTGCTGCAGAGTCTGGTGATGGGTCCCTGCATACAAAAGGGGCTTGGCCTGCTGCTCCCGCTGCTGCTGCTGCTGTTGCTGCTGTTGCTACAGCTCCAGCCTCGACGTGCCCCTCACGCTGCTGCGGCTGCGACTGCTGCTGCTGCTGTTGTTGTTGCTGCTGCTGCTGCTGCTGCACTCGCTGCGAGGCTGCTGCCGACTTTGCATTCTCCCTGAGGGTCTTCTCCACGTCCTCCATCACCGACTGCAGCAGCAGCAGCAGCAACAGCAGCAGCAACAGCAACAATAACAGCAGCAGTAACAGCAGCAGCAACAGCAACAGCAGCAAGCAAGACTTCTTTATTCTCATCGAGCCCGGCACAAAAAGCCCTAGCCAACAGGGACGCAAAACTAAAGGGTTTAGGGTTTAGGGTTTAGGGTTTAGGGTTTAGGGTTTACGCGTTCGAATTCAGCAGCAGAAACAGCTGTAGCACCGAATGCTGCCAGCTGCTCTGCAGCCCAATCATGTGTCTCTTCTTCTGTCTCCTCTACCAGGGGGCCCCCCATACAAAACAAAGGGTTTGCACTCACACTAGACGGGGCCCCCAAGGTACTGGGGGGCCCCCCTAGGGTACTGGGGGCCCCCCCTAGGGTACTGGGGGCCCCCCCTAGGGTACTGGGGGGCCCCCATAGGGTACTAGGGGCCCCATCTAGGGTACAGGGGGCCCCCAGGGGGCCCTCAGGGGGTCTGGCTAAAGGGGGGCCCCCCTCAGAGGGGTTCCCAGAGGGGCCCCCAGAGGGTTTGTCTACAGGGGGTCCCCCCTGAAGGGGGCCCCCTGGGGGTGTACCTAAAGGGGGGGCCCCCAATGATAGAGTAGAAGGGGGGACACCTGGGGGCCCCTGCAGAGACAGCTGGGGGCTTTCGTTCTGGTTTAAAGAAGCAAATGAAATCGCAGCAGCGTGATTCTGCTGCTTTTGCTGCTGCTGCTGCTGTTGTTGCTGCTGCTGCTGCTGATGCTGCTGCTCCTCCTGCTGCTGATGCTGGTGCTGCTCTGCTTCTCCCTTTGTTTGCTGTTGGATCGGCATATTGCGGCTAAAAACCCCTTTCTTCACACCTCCTTTCGCGGAAGGACTTAGGGTTTAGGGTTTAGGGTTTAGGGTTTAGGGTTTAGGGTTTAGGGCCTCCAGCGAAGTAGGGCCCCTAGGAAGTTCTTCCTACTCTACTCTTCTGCTGCTTTCAATAAACCATTACTCTTTTAAGTCTACAACAGCGAGCATATCAAAGAAGATTAGCAGAAAATGTTTAGGGGGCCCCCAGGGGCCCCCGACCGGGGGCCCCAGGGGCCCCCCGGGGCCCCCAGGGGGCCCCTACGAATGACTTCTTCATAACAACAGCTAGCAGCTTCTGTATATGTTTAAAGTATTAATAATAAGTTTAGTTGGTGTGCATTATTATATAACTATGTTGTTGCGGGTTTAGGGTTTGCTGTTCTTCTTCTGGCTGTTTAGGGTTTTAAGGTTTAGGGTTTAGGGTTTAGGGTTTGACTCATTGACTCTCCCCCTTAAACCCTAAACCCTAAACCCTAAACCCTAAACAGCTTCAAAGCGCAAGTGTGAAGACTCTCTTTTGCTTCCCCAGCAGCAGCAACATCTTATAAATAAACCCTTCTTAGGAAGTAAATAATGTATATATATATATATATATATATACATATATATATAGTATATATATATATATATTATACATGCATACATTATATACATACATATACATATATTTGTATATATAATATATGTACATGTATATATCTACATGTATATATATGTGCATATCTATAGAATATATCTACAATAACTTATATATAACATATATATAAATATATATATATATATATATATATATCTATACATATATGTATTAATGCATATAATAATTTATATATACAAACATATATATATATATATATATGTATAATAGTTATATATTCTTAAGAGAAGCGCATCTCCATGTAGAGCTTCTTAAGAATAGACAAATATCTGCAACAAGTATAATATAATAATAAATTTTTTAGTATTTGTTTTCTTAAAGAGATAAAAAAAGTTATTTATTAAGAAGCTATAAAGTAGAGATATACAAACATTTTTAAGATGCCGCTCTTCACACCGACTTCTCCTAAAGTAAAAGCAGCAACAAACCAAACAGGGGCCCCCTCTTCTACGTATACGCATTTTGAGGGGCCCCACAGGCAATAAGGCTCTCAAAAGGGGGGCCCCCCTCTTGGGGGCCCCCAAGAGGGGGGCCACCATATCATGAGGGGGGGGCCCCCAAAAGGGGGGCCCCCAAGAGGGGGCCCCCAAGAGGAGGGCCCCCAAATGATTAGAAGGCCCCCAGATTGGGGGGCCCCCAAAAGGGGGGGGCCCCAGAAGGGGGGGCCCTTTTTAGGGGTTCCAAAACGGGGGCCCCCGAATGATTAGGTGGCCCTAACAAAGGGGGGCCCCCAAATGATATGGGGGGCCCTGAATAAGGGGGGCCCTCACACGAGAGCTGCTACAGAGGGAAGAGCAACCCCAGAAGGGCCCCCCAAAGGAGCCCCCCAAAGGGGCCCCCCAAAGGGGCCCCCCAAAGGGGCCCCCCAAAGGGGCCCCCCAAAGGGGCCCCCTAAGGGGGCCCCCTAAAGAGGCCCTCTAAAGGGGCCCCCAACGGGGCTTTGCATGCATTAAATGATGAGAAGAGACATCTGAAGGCTTTTTTAACCCTTGAAGTTAAACACCAGGAGTGTAAGAGGTTAGTTGTAGAAGAAGTTTTAGAAGAGCTTATTAGAGAGGCTTGATATATATTTATAAATAAATATATTATTTATTTATTTATTTATTTATTTATACTATTAGTTGAAGACAAAAGACAGAAAAAGACAAACAAAATATAATAAAAGACTCTGTTAGAAGTCTGTGCATGCATGCGCATGCATGCATATTTGTAGCCTCCTTCTTGATTAAAATTTGATTATTATTAATTATTATTAATTATTTAATTTATGCTAAACAATTATAGGGGGTGTTTTAGGGGAGGTGCTGCAGTATATTAGTAGAAATATCTTCTAGTAAACAAAGCTCTCTGTTCTTATTACTCTTCAGTACTATAATGTATATATATATATGTATATATATATATATATATATCTTTGTGTATGTATATATGTATATCTTTGCGTATATACCTATATATATATACCTATATATATACATTTGTATATATGTACATACATATTTATATCTCTTTGTGTATATGTATGCATATCTCTTTGTGTATATATATATATATATATAATATATTATATGTGATATACGCATTTATGCACAGTATATATTGTGTATATATGTGTATATATACACAAATGCATACATGTACATCATGTATATGTATATACACTTATATATGCATATATATATATATATGTATATACATGTAGCAGCAGCAGCAGCAGCAGCAGCGTGAACAACAAAAGCAGCTCGGCGTAGAAACGAAGAGGACCCAAGGTAAGACAATCTCTCAGGTGTACAGACAGCTGGATATATCAAAACAAAATAAATAAAGTTAAAGTGCTGCAGTTATTAAAAGACAACACCTATAAACTAAGAAATTATTAAAACAAAAAGAATAGTGCAGCATCTCTCATTACTCTTCGGTGTACAGACACCGGAGACAGCCACCAGGCAGCTCCAGCGCAGCAATTCCTTCAGATTATCGCAGCAGCAGCAGCAGCAACAGCAGAAACGGCTGCTGCTGCTGCTGCTGCTGCCGTTGCTGCTGCTCTTTGTTGCAGATTTTCTTCTGTATAGGCATGCCTCCAACACTAAATGTGAAAATGTTTCTCTGAATTTGCATACCTTTTCAGTCTCAAACTATAAACAAATAAAGCTGCAGGTACAGCGTAGAAATATCTTTGTCTTAATTTATTTTTTACGGTTTTCTGCATTTCTTCTGTATGCACGCCGATGCATCGATGAAGGCTCGGCAGCCTTTTCCTTCCTTATTTTATGTATATTTGCATTTAATTTGGCTTAATTTAATTCAATTTGATTTATGTTATTTTAATTTAATTTATTTTTACTTCGTTTTCCTCTCTTTCTCTCAAATACCCTCAGAACCAACCGCCCAACTCAACTCGAAGCAGCTGGAGCTGGGGCGGTCACAGCCTTGGCTTGAGGAAATGCTGCAGTTTGCGGGTGTATTTGAGTGAAAATGCGTAAAATGAAGTAATTAGAATAAAATTATTTATTTTATTTTCAAAAAGAAGTGAAAAAGTTTGTCTGATATACACCGCAGTGTTTTCAGTCACGCTGGGGCGGGTAGCGGTGCATCGGCGGTGGTGTGTGTAGATATTTTGGCGCTGAAAGAAAGTATTTTTTTGAAGATTAAGATATATTTTATAAAATAAAATATAATTTGTTTATATTTTGTTTTATTTCCTCAAAAAATATCACAAAAACCGAGCAGATTGCAGCAACAGCCAGAGCTGTTGAACATCGAAGGAGCAGCCGCAGCGCTGTAGCTATCTCGGTTGGTTGAGGTGCCTATACACCTGAGCGTAGTCTTATTATTTCTGTGAATTGTATGCTTAATTTGGGGTAATTTTGTCTTTATTGAAGTATATCTACGCTGTCTATTCATTAATGCAGCAATTTAGGTCCTCTTTCTCTCTACCAATTTACTCAACTGTCTGTACAGCCGAGAACAGCCTTCTCCACAGAATCAGCAGTGCATCTTTCTTTCTTTCTTGCTCTTCAAAAATATTCTTTTCAGGGTTTTACCCCTTTTTTTAGAAATATTTATCTGCAACACTCTCTTTTCCACTGAAAAAACAAACAAATATTCATTTATATACCCACAACAAACCCTGCCCGGCCCTCTACGCTGTATAGACAGCTGCAGCCGACTGAAGAAAAACGATTGCAGAGTACTCTGCACCTTTTTCTGTTTTCGTCTTTAATTCCTTTCCTAAATTTAAATAGAGGTATTTAAAAGTGTAAATACAAACAAATACTCAAAAAATAAACAACAATTTGCAGTCATACACCAGCAGCAAAATAACAAAAAAAACTCTTTGATGGCTGCCGGAAAAAAAGCAGGCAAAGCGAAGAAAATAATTCAAACAAGTAAAAAAACAAATAAAAAAATGAATGCTCAGCAGCAAGAGCAGCAGCAGCAGCAGCAGCAGCAGCAGGAACAGCTGCAAGAGCTGCAACAAAAGCAAGAGCTACAACTACAGCAGCAGCAGCAGCAGCAGCAGCATGAACAGGTGCAAGAGCAGCAGCAAAAGCAGCAGCAGCTGGAAGACAATGAAGCTAAAAAGACACAGCAGAAGCTGCAGCAGCAAGAACAAGCTACAAGGGAAGCAACTCCCACAGAGAAGGAAGAGGAGCAGCTGCAGCGGCAGCAGCAGCAGCAGCAGCAACAGCAGCAGCAAGAGGCGCAGCAGCAACAACAGCTGGTAAAGCAGCAGTACGAACAGCGCATGCAGCAAGTTTCACCGTCTTCTCATGAACAAAGAGAGCAGCAACAGCAGCAGAAACAGCAGCAGCAAAAGCAGCAGCAACAGCAGCAAATGCAACCAAGACAAACTACATCTCAGAGATTCAGGTGGAAGCAAGATGTAGTGGATAAGTTATGCCTCCCAGGTATGCAATGTTGCTGCTGCTGCTGCTGTTGCTGCTGCTGCTGCTGCTGTTTGTGCTGCGTTTGGTCATTGCGCTTGATTTAGCCTCTGCAATTGCTGCTGCTTTTGCTGCTGCTGTTGCTTCAGCTGCTGCTGTTGCTGCCTCAGTCTCTCAAATAACATACATACATATATATATGCATATATATATATATATATCTGCTGCTGCTGCTGCTGCTGCTGTTGGGGTGTATGCGCAGGTCCTGTACTGAGCCTGGATCAGTTCTTGCAGGCATTTGTTGATGATGCTTCGGGGTGCAGCAGCAGTTTATGTTTATCTGTTTATGATAAATTAAAAAGCTGCAGCATTGGCAGCAGCAGCGAGAGCATCTCTGTGCCGACCCTCCTTGAGCTGCTGCAGCAGCTTCATGAAGAAGAACTCATTGCTGCTGCTGCTGCAGCAAATGCACTCTCTGCTATGATCAAAGGTTTGTCTTCTTCTCTCTTTCTTAATCCCTTATATATACATATATATAGGCATATATACATATATATATATATATACATATATATGCATATATTTACATATATATCTATATATGCACACACATGTATATATATATATATATATATTTAGCAGCAATTTAGATGTATATTATATATACATATAATATATATATTATATATATATTATATATATATATTGCTGCACATAGGTGTATGCATATATACGTAGATATGCATGCATCTATAAGTGTATATCCCTTTATATACAAGGATTCATCTGTGCTGCTGTTGCTGCTGCTGCTGCTGCTGCTGCTGCTGCTGCTGCTCAGACTTAGATGCGAAGCTGAAGAAGACGGAGGGGAAGTCGGCGCTGCATGAATTTGCAGCAAAGTGGTTGTTAAGGTGAGGGTCTGCTCTTTGTGTTTATTTTTATTATTTTTATTTTTATTCTTTTTATTCTTTTTATTCTTTTTATTGTTTGTTTTATTTATCTCTCTCTTCTTTTTACTCGTCTCTTTCTCTGTCTCTTTATCTGTCTCTTTATCTGTCTCTTTATCTGTCTCTTTATCTGTGTTTATTATTTTTATTTAATCTCTTCAGTTACTTTTTATATATTTAGATATTTGTTTATTTCTCTGCTCGTGTTGTTTTGTTTATTTATTTATTTATTTATTATCTGTTTGTTTGTTTTTATTTGTCTTTGTTTATTTTTGTTCTTCCCTCTGCATCCGGTTTAGGGTTTAGGGTTTAGGGTTTAGGGTTTAGGGTTTGTTGGGGTGTATATGCAGGTACGTGAATTGCCTGGTCCAGGGCTCTGCTTCGCTTTCCGAGTTATGTTTATCTCGTCGAAGCCCTGCAGCAGCAATTAATACATTTAATTTACAGCTGCAGCAAGCAAAGCCGCACTGGGAGAGAGCTATTGCTGTTGAACACAAAATCTCTCTTGATCAAGCACACCTAGTAAGCGCGGTCAAGGGTTTAGGGTTTAGGGTTTAGGGTTTAGGGTTTAGGGTTTGAGGGTTTAGGGTTTAGGGGAGGGAGTGTATTCTTCTTTGTTGTGGTTTTCTCATTGCTTTTCTTTATATTTGGCTCTCGGTGGTTTCGCTCGCATTTGGGGGTTTAGGGTTTAGGGTTTAGGGTTTAGGGTTTAGGGTTTAGGATTTAGGGTTATTGAATGAATTTCCATATCTTTATGCTTTTCTCCTTACAAGAAACCCTCGCTATTATTATTATTATTATTATTATTATTATTATTATTATTATTATTTATTATTTATTATTATTATTATTATTTGTTTGTTTGCTGCAGCTGCTAGAGAAGTGTCTGGTGCATATGCAGTCTGCTTTAGAGAAGGACATCAATGAATTGCAGCAGCTGCAGCTAGCAGCAGCAGCAGCAGCAGCAGATCGTGAGGCAGCAGCAGCAGCAGCAGAAAGACTCCGCAGGATAACCCCCGAAGAAGCAAATCGTTTAGGCCTGGCAGGCTCACCAGAAGCAGCAGCAGCAGCAGCAGCAGCAGGAGGTGCAGCAGCAGCAGCAGCAAATGGTGTTATATCTGTTCGATATTTATATGAAGACGGCAGCGAAGTAGTAAACCCTGCGCATTTACCTGAAGGAGCTAAGCTTGCTGAAGCAGCAGCAGCAGCAAACTTGCAAGCAACAGTTGCTGCTGCTGCTGCTGCAGCAAAAGCAGCAGAGCAGCAAGCTCTTGACATCGGAAGAGCTATGACATCCGCTACTCAGCTGCAGGCAGTCTCCAGCAGCAACAGCAGCAGCAGCCAACAAGAGCAGCAAGGGACATCGCTGCAGCAGCTGCAGCAATTCTATAGACAGCAGTCTATCATTGTTGAGAAGCAGCAGCAACAAAGCAGACAGCAAAGCCACCAACATCTGCAGCAGCAGCAGCAGCAGCAACAACAGCAGCAGCAACAACAGCAGCAGCAAAAAGTGCTGGAAATGCAGCAGCAAATGAGTCAACACGCAGCTGCAGCTGAGGCAGCAAGGAGACAAGAGCAGCAACAATTGCAGCAACAACAGCAGCAGCAGCAGCAAAGGCAGCACCTTCTGCGCCAGCAAATGCAACAGCAGCAGCAGCAGCAGCAGCAGCAGCAAATAGAGACAGTCTCTTCTGTCCCTGCTAGCCCCCAGATATCTACAACACCTCACAACCCATCCTTATCTACTTGGATTGGCGCTGCAGGCGAAGGGTTGCAGCAGCAGCATGCAGCAGCAGCAGCAGCAGCAGCAGCAGCAGCACACAGCAGCAGCCAGGTTCTGACCCGCGCAGCATCAATGCAGCTGCCGCCGCAGCAGCACAGCAGCAGCAGCTTCAACCTCAGCAGCAGCACGTGGAAACGAGCAATAAATACAGCAGAGAGAATCGAGTTATATGCACGTAGAGGGAGAGGCAGGCCTCCGAGCGTGCCTCCGCCTACAACAGCAGCAGCAGCAGACGAAGCCAAAGCAGATAACAGCAACATCCAGCAGCAGCAGCAGCAGCAGCAGCAGCCGCGGCAGCAGCAGCGCAGCCTCAGCCTCACAAACCCTTTAAAGAGCGCAGGAAAGTTTCTGCAGGCTTTGGGGTTGTGGCAGTCCAGTGAAGACAACGAGGACGAGCAGCAGCAGCAACAGCAGCAGCAGCAGCAGCAGCAGCAGCAGCACAGGGCTGCTGGGCTTCCCCCGCTGCCCCCCTCTTCAATGCCGTTTATGCCGCCGATGATGCTAAGCAATAATGCAGGGGCGAACCCTCGTGAGGTGTCTATGCAGCTCGATCAGCATGTGCAGCAGATGCAGCAGCAGCTGCAGCAGCAGCTGCATCAGCAATTCCTCAGGCAGGTAAGAGCCATGCAAGGAGGAGCAACAGCAGCAGCTGCAGCAGCAGCAACAACAGCAACACCCAATCCTCTGGACCCTCAACAAATGCAGCAGCAAATGCAGCAGCAATTCATGCAGCAGCAGCAGCAAATGCAGCAGCAAATGCAGCAGCAATTCATGCAGCAGCAACAGCAGCAACAGCAGCAGCAACAACAACAGCAATATATACAGCAGCAGCAGCAAATGCAGCAGCAATACATGCAGCAGCAAATGCAAGAGCAACAACAGCAGCAAAACCAACAGCACCAACAACAGCAGCATCAGCAGCAGCAGCAGCAGCAGCAGCAAGGCCGCCGTATAGCTGTTCGCTCTTTGTCAGAAGTACCGCCTGTACAGTTAGGAGAGACAAAAATAACAAAGGGTTTAGAGCAGCTTGAAGCTCTAACTCACAGCCAACTTGAGGTGTATGCTCAGCAGTTTGGGGTGTATGCAACTCCAGAAGCAGCAGCAGCAGCACTCGGTGGCGTCCCTTTGCCCGGTGTGGGGGCTCTGAAGGGTCAGGGAGGCACTCATCTTGTTAAGATACAGCAGCAGCAGCAGCAGCAGCAGCAGCAGCAGCAGCAAATGCAGCAGCAGCAGCATATGCAGCAGCAGCAAATGCACCAGCAGCAGCAACATTTTAAACATCAACTGGAGAAACAACATATGCAACTGCAGCATCAACAGCAACACATACAGCAGGAACACAAACAGCAGCAGCAGCACCAGCAAATGCAGCAGCAAATGCAGCAGCAAATGCAGCAGCAAATGCAGCAGCACTTTGTTGGTACAATCGAACAGGTTAATGCCTTGAAGCAGCGACAACTCGCAGAGATGCAAATGCAACGAACACAAATATAATCTCCCTGCAGCAGCAGCAGCAGCGGCAGCAGCAGCGACAGTAGCAGCAGCTGCAGCAAATGCAGCAGCAGCGACAGTAGCAGCAGCAGCAGCTGCAGCAGCAATATTAGTTGCTGCAACAAAAATATACTTTATTGAGGGTCCTGCGGCACCCTTCTAATTTAAACCCGCAGATGCAGCTGCAGCAGCAACCACAGCAGCATATTGCTGCTGCTGTGTATATTGCTGCTGCAGCATATTGCTGCAGCAGCAGCAGCAATATAATTATTTATGATTTGTTGCTCAAGTGCAACATAATTTAGGAGACCTGCTAATATTTTATTTGTTTAGTTGGCTTTGCAGCAACTGCAGCAATCTTGCACTCGTCTTCTGCTGCTGCTGTTGTTGCTGCTGTTGCTGCTGTTGCTGCTGCTGCTGTTGCTGTTGCTGTTGCTGCTGCTGTTGCTGTTGCTGCTGCTGCTGCTGCTAACAAATTGCACCTGCCTATACACCCAAAAGTGCGTACATCTGCCTAAATCCCACTTATCTCCCAACAGTACTCAGCAGCAAGCACGGAGCCATAGCAGCAGCAGCAGCAGCAGCAGCAGCAGCAACTACAACAGCAGCAGCAGCAAGAGCTACAGCTTCCAAGAATGGCTTCTTAACTTAGGACCTGCGTGTACACCTGAAGATGCAGCAGATCCCAACGCCATGCTAAACTGTTAGTATATAGGGTTTGCAGCAACAGCAGCAGCAGCAGCAGCAGCAATAGCAGCACCGCAAACAGAAGTGAGCATTAAAGACGGTGTGCATGGTTTTGTTCAGATGCTCCTAACGAAATAAAAGAAGTTTTGCTGCTGCTGCTGCTGCAGCAGCAGCAGCAGCAGCGACTGTGCTGCTGCAGATTTCGCAGCAACAGGGTCGACATGCTGCTGCTGCTGGTGCAGCTGCAACAGCAACTGCAGCAGCAGCAACAACAACTGCACCAGCAGCAGCAGCAACTGCAGCAGCATTAACTGCAGCAGCTGCTCAATCCTTTGTTATTAGACATACACTTCTTCATTACTTATTTTTAATAACAACAATTATTATTATTTATTATTTATTTTATTATTATTTACATTTATACTATTTATTATTATTGATGCTTATTTATTTATTTATTGTTTATTATTATTTATTATAATTATTATTTTATGTCTCCTGCGGGTTATTAACCAAAATTTAATTAACAACAACAACAATATAATTATTAATAATAATAATAAATAATAATAATAATAATAATGTATTAATGATAATATATTTACAATAGTATACTTATAACAACAATATATTAATAATAATATATTTATAACAATAATATAATAATAATAAGAATATTATATTAATAATAATACAATAATATGTTTACAATAATATATTAATAGTAATATATTGATAATATATTATTGATAATAATATATTAATAACAATAATATAATAATAATATATTGATAATAATATATTAATAACAATAATATAATAATAATAATAATAATAATAATAATAATAATAATAATATATTGATAATAAGAATATTTAATATGTTTCAAGGAGATTATTAACAAACTGCTCATTAACCCAATGCCAGTTAATAACAGTCCAGAAGTTATTAAAATATAATTTTTTATTTTGTTGAACATCTAAATAATAAGAGTGCTCCCAAACATCGCAACAAAGAAGAGGAGAAGATCTTCTTGCAAATGAAAGCGGACAAGCAGCATCATGACCTTCTTTTATTTCGACTTTGTCGCTTGAAGTATTATATAATACCCATATCCACCCTATATATATATATCATATACACAACCCTAAACCCTAAACCCTAAACCCTAAACCCTAAACCCTAAACCCTAAACCCTAAACCCTAAACCCTAATTATGTACACAATCCAAAGTTATCTATCTAGTACTGCATCTTCAAACTGGTTTTCGAATGCCTCATAAAACCCTAAACCCTAAACCCTAAACCCTAAACCCTAAACTCTAAACCCTAAACCCTAAACCCTAAACCCTAATAATGCACCTGATCCGAAGTGGCCTAGTACTGCATCTTCAAACTGTTTTTTGAATGCCTCAAGAGAACCGAAGTCTCTGTTTATTCTTTTCAACGTTGGGCCGAGAGGAGTGCTCGTCTCTTCGCTGGGGGGAGCTAAGCAATTGAAATAAAAGGTGTGGTTCCACACCTGAGCTGCCTATACACCCCAACAGCAGCAGCAGCAGCAGCAGCAGAAGCGGAACAGAACAAACGGTGATATGCAAAATACTAAACGCAAATCATACAAACAGCCTGGACACCAAACGGCAGCTGAGAATGATATAAAAACAGCAACAGCAGCAGCAGCAGCAACAGCAGCAGCAGCAGCAGCGAAACCAACATAAGCAGCAGCATCAAACAGCAGCACAGCTTCCAGCCGCAGCATTCGGCTCGTTGCAACGAGAGCAGCAGCAGAAGCAGCAACAGTAGCATAATCAGCAACAACAGCAACAGCAGCACACGCAGCAGCAACAGCAACAGCAGCACACGCAGCAGCAACAGCAACAGCAGCACAAGCAGCAACATCAGCAACAGCAGCAGCACATACCTGGTTATATATTTTCCCCTGCTCATTCTTTATAATAGACTCCAGTGTAGAGTGTACGGGGTTGTCGCTGTCTTTAACAAGAGCATTTAAATTATCTACATACGCCTGGTGGTGCTTCCCTGCAACAAAGAGAGAAGCAGCAACGCAAATATTCAAACAAACCACAAAAAAGATATTCAAACGAAAAACAATATGATGCCGATGCAACAAACACAGACAAAACCCAAGATCCATACTGCTGCTGCTGCTGCTGCTGCTGCTGAGACGTGCAGTTCCAGTTCCTCAGAGAAAGCAGCAGCTGCAGCAGCAGGAGCTGCGGCTGTCGCTACACTGCAGCTCTAGACACTGGCCTGCTCCATATCTGTATGCGTGCGTGTGTGTATGTGTCTGGCGCGTTCAGTGTATGCGAGGCTTCCCGCTGCGGTGTATGCTGAGGGTTTCGGGTTTAGGGTTTAGGGTTCAGGGTTTGTGCAGATAGGGAGAACGAATGCAAACAGACAAGGTATTTGAGGTGTCAGTTGAATGCATGCACTGACCATAGTGATGCTCGAGTGTCCTCGCGCTGATATGGGGCTCAAGAGCATCGAGTTTGTACGGCAGAGGCGGCAAGGTGAATTTGCTTGCTAGCCGAAACGCAGCCCGGCGGAGAGCCTGAAAAAGGAGGGAAAGCAGCGTTTAAATGAGGCGAGACGATCAAAATAACAGACAAAAATACTTTAATTCCCAAACAAACAAAAAATTAACAAAAATTATTAGTGTTCACCGCATGAATTCAAATATATAACACGCCACCCAGCTCGGGTGTATGTGCAGGTTTTGTTTTCGTTTCAGAGTGCAGATTGTGCGATCTTCTAAATTAAGAGACATAAACTGCATTATTTTGTTTTATTATATTCATTTATTTCTTAAAAATGAGTAATTCATTACGAAATATGCAAAGAAAGACAAAAACCTCAGGCAAGAGAAGACATATGAATGATGCTGAGAGCAGATACACACCATCTTTCTTTCTGTTGTATTTTGTTGATGAATAGAAGAAGAAAAGAATATATTTTTGCAAAATGATTGTTTTTACAAGAAGAAAATCTTTTTAATATTAGAAGAAGTTCTTGTACACTCTACATATGTTTCTACTGGGGCTGGGGAGTGGTTCGTTGCAGCATTTGCATGGTTTGTCTATCTTTTTGCATGCATTAAAAAGGAATTTAAGTATATATTTAATATATTTGAGGGTTTAATTTCTATCTTTTTAATTTTCAAATACAGAAAGCTGCCTATACACCCCAACACATAGACTTCTCCCTCCACACAATACATCCAATAGATAGATGCTCTTATTTGAAAGGTTTTTATATTCGTTGTAGCAGCATGAAATGCTTTAAATAAAGTCTTCTATAAAGTGTTGTTTAATAAAATAATTATTTTATTAGCGCAAGAGGAGAAAAGACAAGAAAAGAACCCCATATGCCTCTTGTGCCTATGCATGCAATTAATTATTAGGATAGTATAACTCTTCTTTCTTTAGGAAAACAAACACCGGATTATAATTATAATTATAATATATATTAACAAACAAACAACTGGATGAATACAAATAACAAATATATTCTAAATAGCTCCACGAGGAACATTTCAAATAAATGTTTATTTAGCTATATATATATATATATATATATATATAT